AACTAGAATGACCAGCACGTATGAGCGGTCACCAAGTAAGTGTATTGAGCCTGAAAGATTTAGCCGCATAAGGGGATGGAGGATCCTGACCGAAATTCCGATTGGTACGTTTTTTTATTTCAAATTTTTTTTTGTTTGGTTCTAACAAAACAATGGGATAGCTAATAAATCGTATACTTTAAATCTAGATACGGTGGGATTCATCGTTTATATCGACCGCCTTATACGGATCCCTTATGTTTCTGGCCAATACGAAGGGATAGAGGATGTAACTGTGTCTACTTCGTCTTAAAGAATCATATGTGAGTTTATTTTTCAATTTGTATGCCAGAATTCATTTATTTATGACGTTTGGTTCTGGTTTGAAAATTAATAGGGGATTGAGATTGAGATGTTGCGCCATAGGAGATTTAGCCGACTATTTTATGAGAGTATGGGTTAACCGAGAATATGGTCATTCGTACCTTCGTGATTCTGTATTTTTTGTTTTGAGGTTTTGGCATGTTGAAGAGTATAAAGGTATTGACTTATATATATTCATCATATTTTCCAACAACCAAAATTTAAGCCGGTTATTATCTTATTTTCTCTCATCGGATTGAATATTTTACAGGAAAACCATGTCTCATGAATAGGGTTGGATGCTCTAGATTTTATCTTGACCCGGAGTTTGACGAAGGCCGCTATGAATTCAAGATGTTCCGATTTGGATGATTGAGTGATCATGGAATTTTCTACAAATATTATCAATGAGTCTTGTGTTGTTATGGGTTTTAAGGAATGTATAATTACTTATTTTTAGAGACAGTATGCTTCATCTTTTGTAATATTATGGTCGAATTTTGAAATCTCATAACTAAATTTTTATCATCAAAATTTCAATGTTTCCCGTAGTTTTACGATCTTGAAGAGATCAAGGAACGATAATATTCAGGGTTTATCATGATATATTAATTGGATGTTCGCATTTGTTTCGGATAATAACCTAGCAAGATTTCTATACATATTACACTCTCGATGGTTTTTACTTGGGCTACAAAGAATGCAATATATTCAAAGTCGGATGATTGAATGGGTCATGGATAAGTCTACAAAAATGTTTGATTAGTTTGGTGTTCTTATGAGCTATAATTGATGGATAAATCATTTATACTAGACACGTTATGTTTGATCATTTGTTATAACTCGATCGTATTTTAAAGTCGGTAAACTACTTTTAATCTTCATAATTTGAACTTTTTTTTGAAAAATAACCTTACCACGCAAGGCGCGGGTAATTGCCCTAGTATATATATATATATATATATTAATAATAGTTTGTTAGCTAACTAATAACTTTTAAACAAGTTGATAATAGGTTTTTAAGATCAATTAATCCTAAAGCACTATCATGTCGTTGTAGTATTTTAGGTTGTCAATCCAATCTAGTGTGATGCAAACAGATGAGATATGATCAGAATTTGCTAAGTCAAGCCAAGCAGAGAGTTGTTGTTTTCTAACAATCCTAATGCGAAATAACAGAAATGAAATGAAACCGAAATGCAAACTAGCAATAGCAGACAGTTGAATAACAAAGCAGGTAAGATAACAGGCAATCAAATGGATGAGAGATTCCTAAAGACAGGGTAATCGAATAGCGTGGTCTTCTTAATCTATTTAGACGGTTGACAAAACTTCACAGAAGCTATCCCTTGACAACAAGTTCAAAAGCAAATCAATTCACCACCGTGATAGAAATTCTCAAGCAGAGCTAGACACAGACCTAATCACCATTAGCGATCTCTAACTAAGCAGGCAATATCGAATCAACTTGTTAAAGCCAATACCCGCTCTAAACGGCCAATACCTTGGGATAGAGACGAGTATCTCTGGAATTAGTAGATCAGACATTCCATCAAACACCTTTTGGGTGCGGGAATGTCTGGATTCATTTTCCAGTTGATCAGAAAGGAACAAGCAATAAGCGCAACTAATCCAGAAGGGATTCAAAAAATCTAAACTCAACCATCTAAAGCGACTAAGGCAACCACGACTACTCTATCCCATCCTCAGAAATACAATTCACTACTCAGACATAATCAAAAACAATAGCAATGAAACGATTGAAAACATGATAACAGGAAATGATAAAGACTGAAACGAAAACTGAATTATAAAATACTTGAAAGCGAATACAAAGTCGCAGGAAGAACACACTGCGGCTATGAAAACAAGTCTAGGTAAAAACTGAAAATAAAGACTGGATGCCCTAGGGAAAACCATTAGAGGCTGCTAATATAACCGAGAAAAGTTAAATAAGGAAAGTTCGAGATAGTGGTCTTCACATCGAGACTCTGCGATCGAGCATCTGATGGGCTGAAATGGGCTTCCCTGTGATCGAGTGTAACTGATCAAACTGGGCTTCGGGAACTCCGTCTTGCGATCGAGTGGTCTGTAGTGAAGACGAGATGGAATGGTCCAGCGACCCTGCGATCAAATGGTGCGATCGAGTAGATGACGTGAGGTGGTGATCGAGTGGTTTCTTCAGCTTCTCTTCTCTTTCGTATGCTCAGCTTGTCTGGTTGAGTGAAGAATGAGTAGATGGGCTTCTGATGACAAGGTGGTGATCGAGTGGTGTAGAGTAGGTGATCCCTCCGGGCTTGCGATCGAGTGAAACTAAGCTGCTGGCTTCTCCGGGGTTGTGATCGAGTGATATGTCTTTCATGACAGCTTCTGCTCGATCTTGCGATCGAGTGGTTTCTTCTGAAATTGCTCCGGGATTGTGATCGAGTGCTTTGCTCTGTCAGGGCTACGAGGTTGCGATCGAGTGCTTTGGCTGAAGGAGTGATTGAGCGTTCTGAATTTCTGTTCTGTTTCTCCTCTGTTTGAACTCCAAAAGCATCCAAAGTACCTGAAAACAACCAAATATGCGATGCACATGCAATCCTAATGCAAAAACGTCCTAAGTATGCAAAACACACTAAAATGACTACTAATGAGATGAAATGTGATTGAAACAATGACAAAGTGATGAAAAATGAATGCTTAAATCATGCAAATTATAGACATATCACAAGCTAAAATAGATTGTTTTATCTCCATTTATGAAAAGTTGAATTAACATTGAAATATATTGAGTTTTAAAAGAGTACATGTCCATAACTTTTTGGTTTATAAAAAAGAAAATCAATATATATTTATGAATTGCTCGATATAAAATCATTATATTCTAAAGAAGGTGAAATTTGCTCACACATGTAGAAATATATTCGTTTGAAATCGAAATATCAGTGTTATACATGAGTTGTTTATTTTTGTAAAAGAAAAATATTAATTGAAAAGGTTATTATGTGAGATTTAATAAATTAATACAAATGAATAACAAAATTTATATTTACAGGTGTCAAATCAATTAGAAGCAGAGAAAAAGATAACCGGAGACTTAAAACAGAAGAGAAAAGATAATAAAATGTTTGGGAATTGGTGGGAAGAACCCGTAGAAGAACTCAACATGACCCAACTCACTGAATTCCAATGTGGTTTGGAAAATTTGAGAAAAGCAGTGGCATATAAAGTCTCCAAGTACCATCAAGCAGATGTTCATCGTCGTAACTTTTATGCTGGAAGTTCTAGTAATTTTGCTTTTGGGATCTCAGGTGATAATAATATCAACAGTACTGAATTGGATATGTTTAATGATCAAAGAATGGCGAGCATGAATTTGTCCAACTACAGCCACAACATGATTGTTCCTAATCATACATCACCATTTGGGAATAATGGTAACAATACTCAAGGGTTTGCTCCAGAATACAAAGCGGAAGACAGCCAGAACCAAAGCCAATGTGTTAAGCAAGAAAATGTGTCTGAATATGCTCATTACCCTAATTTTGGACGTGATTACTAATAGTTTATGTTTTGTTGATTCATAAACACAGTTGTTTTTTTTTTGTTTTTGTTTTTATTTTTAAGATGTCTTTACTTTACACATGATTACTTTAAGTTTTCCTTTCAGATATTGTTTCAATTCATAAATACAATGCTTTTGTAGAAACAACAATTCATAAACACAATGTGTTAAGCAAGAAAATGTGTCTGAATATGCTCATTACCCTCATTTTGGACGTGATTACTAATAGTTTATGTTTTGTTGATTCATAAACACAGTTGTTTTTTTTTTGTTTTTTATTTTTTTTTTAAGATGTCTTTACTTTACACATGATTACTTTAAGTTTTCCTTTCAGATATTGTTTCAATTCATAAACACAATGCTTTGTAGAAACAACAATTCATAAACACAATGTGTTAAGCAAGAAAATGTGTCTGAATATGCTCATTACCCTCATTTTGGACGTGATTACTAATAGTTTATGTTTTGTTGATTCATAAACACAGTTGTTTTTTTTTTTGTTTTTATTTTATTTTTAAGATGTCTTTACTTTACACATGATTACTTTAAGTTTTTCTTTAAGATATTGTTTCAATTCATAAACACAATGATTTACCAAAAAGGTTTATGGAGACGCAAAGATTTTCTCCTTACTAAGTTTAGGGCCCAATTAGCTTCAAGGCCCAATAAAGTAGGCTAATTATTATTTCGCGCAATTTTGGTGGTTATTCATTTTGGTAAATCAGTTTCGACAGCTTTTTTTTTTTGTAATCGAATAATCAGATTATATTTTGTTTCGTGCTGTGTGTTAGCCACAATAGTCATTCAGTTGTGCTGAGAACGAACACCTTGTTCTTATTTGTTCTGTCTGCTCCAGGCTCCAGCTAATGCTTTGATTCTCCTCTAATCCCAATCGGAGTTAGTAATACTCTAGCCCCTACAGGACTCGACTATACCACCAAATCTTCCATCTGCCGAAATCTACTTCATCAGTGTAATTGCCTCGGTTCAAGTATATCACCTAAACGCCACATAAATATTAAATAGCCGTATATCTTTCTCTCTCGTTAAGAGAAAGACAAAGCTCTGAATCAACTGACCAACTTGTGTCTTAAAAAGAAACATCAACCATAGGTTACAGGAATGTTTATATAACATTTTTCTACTGCCAGACACTACAATGACAATCACTAGACCAGCTCCAAAAGGACAAAATACCAAGTCTTCTTCAGCCTCTTGCGTTATTTCTTACTACCAAAAACTAAACACCTCTGCGAATAGACTCGAGCTTACTGCTAGGTTGCCAAAACAAGAGCCAATGGGTCACATACCATTTACCATTCTCTTCATCTCGGCTGATCTTCTAGGATCTGGTTCTTCAATCGCTCTCTCTGTAAGCACATGCTTAATGCGGCACATTGATCTCCTCACCTATATATTGAGATGCAAACAAAAGTTGACATTCATTAATATAATAATAATCTTTTCCTTTGGTAATAAAGAACATAACCAATCCATGAAGAAAGGATTCATGTTTCTTCTCATAGTTTCTATCAATTTGTCAACAACTTAATTGAATAGAGAGAGAGTTGAATGAAGGCAACTGACCTTTGGAATGCGTTCAGGGTTTGGAAACTGCATGTTCTGGGCTTGAAGCATCTGACGCTGAGTCATCAACATGTTTTTCTCTTTGAGAAGAACGTACCACAGCTTCTGAAGATCATCCCACGACTTGAGACGTAGTTCTGAAGCTTTCCAACCTCGACCTAACACCAAATCATTACAAATGTTCCCCCATTAACAAAACAAAACAATCCTTAATTCCACATATTCCATGGCATAAGAGGATAACCAAGTTAAGAAGACAAACGAACGATTAGCAGGCTTGACTACAATCCTAAGCTACATTGAACTACTTAACTTGTTCACTTAGTACATTCTATGAACAATCCACAAGTAGCTAAGAGCCTGGATTTGGGAAAACAATGTAAACTAGCATTAAGTAGAGAGAAGTTACCACAAATCAGCTTTAATACATATATCACATTTGACAATCTTAGAGTATCATAAGAGTAAAGTCTACCAAAATGAAAATGACAAAAGAACGCACCGTAGACAACAGGTTTATCTTCATCCTGGCTTCTGTCAAACTCAAAGAACTCCTCAAGTGGATTTTGGGGCGTCCGAATCGCTGAGGCAGCTGCTGCAGTAGTGGACTCCGATCTCGCCGATGCAGCCGCCAAGAATCTCCTCCCGACAAATCGCGTTAGAAACATTGTAACAACAATTCCTTTGAGCTTGCAGAAATATAATCTGACCAACCAAAGATCATCAACAACAATTAGAAAGAGATCGAGACTGGATACCAAAATGGTGACATGTTAATGGAATGTTGTATATAATTCTCAGGCTATCGGAGTCAAACCGATTTCTACCACAAAAAGATTGTGGTGCTCTATCATCCGAGCTAAGCGAGCTAAATTCATACAAATCAGCAATTCAAGAGATCAATAGCAAACAATCCTAGAGTTCCCACAACTTGGTACCAAGAACAAGGGAACACTGGATTTGTTATGCTGCTCTCGAATTACCCAATCACAATTCAAATCAACAAGTTCACTCGGATAGATCCAAACCAGCAATCAATAGAAACAATATTAAATCTCAAAACAAGATCAATCAATCAGAATCGGGAAAATAGTTGCAAGTATAAAATATCGTGTTGAAAAGTTGATTTTCGCAATCGACAAAATCTAAAACACACAGATCAGAATATTCAAAACGATCAATCACAAAGAGCATCAAATCCAAGAGGAGATACATGTAAAAGAACAAGAGACAAGGATCGAAATAGTTTGAGCAGACGAAAAAGAAACAGAACTAAGAAGAACGATCTATGGAATTCGCGGCTTACCTCAGAGATATCGCAGGAAAGAGTGTAGCGGCTAGGGTGAATAAGAACGATCTATGGAATTAGTCAATTAGCAATGAGAGTCGTTTATTTATTTATAATATAAAATAATATCAATCAGAAAATTACAATTATGCCCCTCTTTCGCCGTCAATACTCTTGGTCTTGGGCCTTTTGGGTCTGTTGTGTTTCATGAATCCTAGTTGATATAATAGTCCAAAATTTAATTTTAATTTTGAGTGTTCGATCCAAAAGTGGAAATGGAATTCAGTTAAACAGCGAACTAAAGACATCTTTAAGTACGTTAAAAAAAACATTTAATCACACCTTTAAATTAAGGTACGTAATTCAAACCAAATGGTTTAGCTACTTATAGGCCTGGGCATATGGGTAACCCGTTCGGGTTCGGGTAAAACCCGTTCGGGTTCGGGTTGAATGGGTAATGAATTTATGGTCCATTCGGGTATTCCTATGGTTTCGGTTCCGGTCCGGTACGGGTATTGTCGGGTTCGGGTCGGTTTGGGTAATACCCGAAGTTTAAAATCACTTTACATACTCAAATGATCAAATAAAGAGAATAGAACATCAAACATGACATTTAAATACTAAATCCAATCCAAAATAACAAAGATGACTATTTCACTCTTAAATGTTAAGAGTAGATTCTAATTATCTATATACATATATAAACATATGTGTATTGCATATATATAAGTATATAAATATATAAGACTATATATCTAATTATCTATATACATATATAAACTCAAACGTCAAAAGTCACAAAACCTAAAACCTACGACATACATATAAGTGTATAACTATATAAGACTATATATCTAATTATCTATATACATATATAAACATGTGTATTTTTCGGGTTTGTGGGTACCCTAAATGGGTAACGGGTAATCCCCGACCCGACCCGATACCCACGGATAATTCAATACTCTACCCAATGAGGTAATTTTCTAATACCCTAACCCGCCCCAACCCGATTTTTTCGGTCCGGGTATCGGTTCAGGTATCGGGTCCGGGTTTTTTGCCCAGGCCTAGCTACTTATATCATATATACACATGTTCTTCTCCCAAAACCTTCAATAATTGTGTAGCAAACTCAACCATCGTTGGAACATCACTCTATATGACACTCTTCTCTAGTAGTATTTGTTATCTAATGAATGCACATTCTGAAGAGGCACTTGTATCATTTATTCAACACCAAATAAAAAAGAATGAATAATTAACATATACTATTAACCTCAAAATCTCATGACAATGGAAACGGTTTATTATAATAACAACCATAAGTGCCCACTCCACGAGCAACCCCAAGAGAGAGCACCTTCCATGTTTAATAAGTATTCAGAAAAACTCCAGAGGACCCGAGATTGACACCGGAGGATCTATCACCACGCGGCTCGCCTTCCCTTCTAAGTAAAGCTGAGGTAACGTGTTGGCCTCTTTCGCAGTAACGCCTTCTGCAGTCCACAACGTAACATGTGGCCATTCGTTCTTGGAGACTACCGTCTCTCCGTCCACACATCCGACATTGGCAGTTAGAGCTGCCATCTTGTCGTTGTAGATGAGCTCCGTGAGCTCTACGGGTATCTCTCTGTTCAAGTGCTGACCATAGCTGGCTACAGCTGCTACGCCATGGCTTCTCTTGTGGGCAAGCGTCACATGAGACCGTTCAAGTTTTTCCTGTATGGTCTTTTTCTTGCCCTCTAGAAAAAATCTCATTGTTGGGTTTGCTGCGGCCAACTGATAAGAAAACACATCAATTATTAACAAAGCCCATACATAACCTTAAGTTCTGATGCATGAGATGAAAGGAAAAAATGATGTGTGCCCACTCTGTGACAAATGGGGGCAGGAACAAAAATCCGATTTGAGTTTATGAACTTTTAACCTTTAGTTTTCGACGGTTGAAGAGTTCGTGTCTCAATATACTTTTTTTTTTTTAATGATAGTTTAAGAATTTGGTTGGTTACCTTTTCAAGAAGACTGTGAACTTGAGTAGCAGGCAAGTTGATGGCAGCGAAAATAATAGACCCATGTTTTGTTTTCTCTGAACTTGGTGGCTTGTATTCACCCTTTGCGATTTTTTTTAGCTCTTCTCGCACTAGATGAACCACAGACTCAAATGGAACCTGAAAGTTGCAAAAAACAAAGATATCTTATGCACATCCCTTCTTCCTAAACTCTTTTATCATTTGCTGAAGAAACATTGAAGTAGTTAAAATTCAAGCGCAGATTTGTCGCTTTTCATGAGCCATCAAGGACAAAGGATTTTTT